TCGGCTGTAATCGCGTAAACGGTGTCTACGCCAATGAAGAAGAAGAAAAATGTGGAAATAACTAAATCTTTAACTTTTTATTGACCTTTAAACATGAATTATCAAGGAGGGCGCTGCTTATCTTGGATATTACTCCAAGTCACACGGCTGAGAATCATTTGGTTATGGCTACAGATGAGGGATTAATATGGACAATATTTATGCCATCTATTGTAATGCCTTTGATTGTACCGTTGGATCAAAACTCTATTACGCAAGTGAAATTTTCTTCCAGAAATAGTCTTTTCAGTAAAACTATTTCCACTTGAACAGAATAACTCAAAATCTTTACATGCAAAAAATTCGATGCTGTGTGCCTATTAGCGCTCTCTTGTTGAAAACTGTCGAAGCATTCCATCATGTTTGGATAATTATTTCYAGTTATAGCTCCGAGGTCTTCGAAGTAAGACTTTGGTATCAAATATTTACATAAACTTGAGTTCCCTCATCAAATTATTTATTTAGTTTTCAGTTGGAAAGGCTGAAATTCACGAGTAAARTTGTGTTGACGATTGTGCTGAATCCGATGCAAGCGACAATGGAAATTACTATGCGCATTTTACCACCGGAATTGGCCCTGCAGCAAATAAGGTTAGGCATGAAGAAATAATGACTCTTTGAAGAATGGCTACGTTGAACTGTCAAAAATTCTAGTGTTATGTGATTTGCAAGAAACCTCAATTAAGTAGAAAAGCTCGAAAATTGGGAATTGAAGATTATTTCTGTAAAAAAAAGAATAATTTYTTGAAATTTATATCCTTCATTTAAAAGTCAATTCATGCAGCTATTTGTTTGAAAAGACGGTTCTACGGTAGGTAAATATTGAATAGTAGASGCGACATATAGTCTGGCCACTTTGGCATAAACGAGGAACTCTTAAAAACTGCAATACTCTTTAAACCTTATGAACGGAGATAATCTTGGAAAATTTATTTTTATTTTTATCAATATTAATTAGAGACAAAAGTGCTTGTTTGTCAAAATTGGCATGCATTATAAATGAGAACTKTGGTCAAAATAATTTCACTACGAACCCATGTGATGCAACATCAAAAAAACTAAACATTATACGTAGCCCTCGTAACTGCACAAAATGCTTCAACATAAAAYGAAATTTCTGCGGAATTAACAATAAAACATTTTTAGCCATGCCTTGAGCTCGCCACTTCGCGAACTTTTACATACGAATGACACACATGAGCAGAGAGGGGCACAACCCAACCAAACGACGCTCACAAACTGTCGCTATGTTAGTGCCCTTACAGTGTAGCAGAGCGAACAAATAAAATAACGAGTTCTAAATAATTCATGGGCATAGATTTATCAACTTGACTTCTGATTGCAGACTGATTTTCACTCTCGTTTTGTCCCATCGTAAGTGCTCGTTTACGCTCTTCGTTTGGGCGTGTAAGTGACAATCCGTATGTGTATACGTATACGATCACTTACGCTCTTTTAGCACATGCTACGGTTTTGCCCATCCCTACACATGAGRGATCGTTGCGCAGACGTGTGACGAACTTCATAAAACCAATCACAAATCAGTATGCATACAGTACGCTACAGCCTGTCAGCAATGAGTGGATAATCGATTTTTATGATTTAAAACTTGAAAATGAATATTATTACAAAATTATGTATGTACAGTATCCGGCACTCGAAGTGTAACCAATTAAAATGACAAAACACTCGGTTTGGAAAATTATTTTTATTTATTTTTATTTATTTTAAAGTTCAAAATGTGCGAAAATAATCATAAATTCAGGACCAATTCAGTTTTGCTCAAAATGACCATCTTTTGCCTTAACTATGGCCTTGAGACGATCAAAAAACGAATCGTTGTTGGAACGTCTATGGTTTGCGACCGAAATGTTTGTTTGCCTACGGCTTTAAAGCAGCCTCCAGAACACTTTGMCGACAATATGTCGCATTTACTTTAATGCCAGGCTGGATGAAAACAATTGGAGAGCGCCCATCTGTCCTGTCAGCTGTCCAAACCTGATGGCCAACCGATAACTTAGATTCTCGTATGCGATGCTGTGGTCGATATTTTCAGTTCTTTAGCCATTTGATTGGCACTGGCTCGCATACAGCTGCTGGCTGT